TCCAACTTCTCACTATAAGTTATCGCATTTTGACTCCCTACCACCCTCGTCACAGGCTGTGAAGTATCAATCCTCTCATACCCATCCTTACTACCTATCTATTGTCTTAATCTATTAAGATCAAACCGAAAGTAAAAAATAGTAACCAAAAAGAAAAACAAACAAATGAATACATCAATGTTACATCAAGTTAAACAACATTCAATGCCACAATTCTCACATCAAGGGAAAAAGTTTGAGGAAAAATTTCTCATACTTCACAAATAGATAATAAACAAGGTACTCTATCTAGACAAAATAAAAGATTCATCCATTAAAAAACACATCCTTCAAATAAGCTAACAAGAGAAATTAAAAACAATGATAGGGGTAATGCTCATGGTCACATGTTTTAGACTCGTCAAATCCCCTATTTGCAGTGCACAATATATTCAGGAGATCAATCTCAATAAATTATAGCAAAAAAAATAGGACCCTTGGCAAGACAAACAAATAAAAACTTTACATATCACATCAACACTTTCAAGAAACATAATTGGGAAACATGGAAGATGTTAAAAAAGATAGCTAAACCCAAGAGGGAGGGTGAATTGGATTTTTCAAAATTTAATCAGAGCTCTGGATCTTTATTTCAAGGATTTTTATTTCAAAAACTTTTTCTAAAATACTTTTCAATTGAAGTCTATTGAGTTATTGATATATGGGATATGCTCCTATATGCTTATTAAAACTTTCTTTAATCTTTAGAATCTTAACATGAAACCATGCATGAATTACATTTCAATTAACACCTCAAACATACAAAAATATAGATCACATGCAATCAGTTTTAACCAAGTTAAGATACAAATTAAAGATTACACAATTAAAAGGAGTAAGGATGACAGAAAAGTGCAAAATGATTTATCCCGATTTAGCCACTCCACATGTAACATACATTCAATCCTTAATCAAAACTTGATCAAGATTTGTCTACTATCTTTATGTAAGAAATTTTACAATCACACACCACACATGGAATATACTCCTACATACAAGATACTACCTTTGTTGCACCCAAGAAAACATTTCTTGCAGCAACCCGCTACAAGAGTTCCCACACTTGAGAAACCTACTCAAGATTTTACCATTCTATATCAAAATGTATAAGGAACAAATTCACCTGTAAGCTGAACAAATCAGAACGTGAATTCTTAGATAAATCTTTATCCTACTCTTCAATATTATAGTGATGATGATGAGATTCTCAAAACATTTCACAAAGTGTTTTTGTTTCTTGGTTTCACAAAGAAAACGCTCCAAGAAGATCACAAAGATCAAAAGTTTCACAAAGTTTACTCACAATGTCACTTGTATATGTTTCTGAATAAGAAAACCATTTTTATAAATTTTTTATGCAAAGATAATCGATTATTTCTAAGAATAATCGATTATTTTGTTCTTAGTAATTCTAGAAATCATTCAAGAACAATTTAATCGATTATTTCTCAGGATAATTGATTATTCCAGAGAGTGCTTTTTGGAATAATCGATTATTTCTACAAATAATCGATTATTACAGCAATGTATTTCAATTTAATGAAGAAAAAAAAAGAAAATAAACGATTATTGTAAGTGAATAATCGATTATTTTGAGTAATATCTCAAAATTTGATTTTATCATCCAAAAAACTTCTCACGTTATATTTTATCATCATCATACTACTCTTAAGGCAATTAGGATAAAAATTAACCACTTGCACAAAGCACAAACGTATAAGCATGATTAAAGATAAACACAAAGCAACACAAACTACAACTTACATATAAACTACATTATTACAATACATCTCATTTTATACACTTCTTGATCTTGATGCTTCCCTTTTTCTAATCATCAAAACCTTCAAAAATTGATTCATTAGCTTTCCTAAGATGTGAATCTCAATAGAAGATACATAACTCACTCACCAGATGAACCAACCAAGCTTTGATACCAATAACTGTAACATCTTTCTACCTTGAATAATTAAACAAAAAATAAATGATTAAGGAAATAAATTTAAAACTTTTCACAAAAAAAATTCTAAGCATTAATTCAATAAAAAAATGTTCACAATCTATTTTAGCAACTTTATTAAACAATGTAGTAAATAATATATAAAATTAAAATAAGGCACAAACTGCCCTTTTTAACCAAATTCTAACAATTAAACAAAAAGAGTTATACTCCAAATGAAATCCATTAAAATGCTAAAACTAATCATTGTCTCGATGTCTCACTAATCAAAGCAAAGTCCCTCTTTATGTTTCTTTCATCAAATACATCTTCTCGTACTTGTACTAATCTTATAAGTGACGTTTAGCTCAAACACAAGCATATAAACATGGAAAATGAGAATACATCTCATCCGTACACAATATATATAAATACAAAAATAGACATACATATCTATAACATCAATCACGTCTTGAACACATAAAAAATCCTTCCATACAACTACTATAATCATCTTCAAACATTCATTCATCATTCACATCTAATAAATTATACAATATATCTTAAATCATCTAAACATAAACCATTTCACTTGAAAATAAATTTTAATTAAAAGTAATACTCATCCAAACATACACTTATACTTGTAGCAAAGTACAAAAAATATACTATACTGTAGCAAGAGACCATGAACACGGATCTGGTTCACAGGCTATGATTTTTTTTTTTTTTCAAGATTGGAATAATAACAATTCTTCAATTATGCAAAAAAGACTACACTAGCATAAGGCTCTTGATTATTATAATTCTTATTACCCAGATCTTTGATTCAGATATTTTTCCTGTGCTTTTTGTTCCTATATTCTTAATTTTTAAGAGTGGTTTTCTTCCTTCCGACTTTTATTTTATTATTATAATTTTTATAGCTAAAATATTTGTGATTATTTTTTAAACTATTTTTCTTTTTTACCTTTCTCAACTAGATTTTCCCCAATCCAACCCCAACTTTTTTGCTTAATTAAATTTTGAATAGAGAATTTTTTATTTCATTCCTTTCCAATCCATTCATTCCATTATATTCTAACATATTCTATTCCATCAATCTAAACATAGTCTTAATTTTCTAAATAATGCTACTGACTTTTAATTACAACTACATATTGTTAAAACAATCTAACAGTTTTAGTCAAGTGTAATTTGATTAATCCACTCACGAACCAAAAACAAGAAACCATTGTAAAATTTGGAATTTGGATTTTGAAAATTCCAAATTTACAACAGAAAGAAAAATTATTATTCTCTTTCATCACATAATTCGATATAATTTGATATTTTAAAAATATCTTCTATCAATACTAGAGAAAAAAGATACACTACATATCTCTATATATTTATTTAAAATAAATAAAAGTGAATCTATATATATATATATATATAATATTATTAACAATATAACTAAATAAATAAAGTTGTAATATAAAAATTTTAGATTATCAATAATTTTTTAACACTTTTACTACACTTAATTAAATTGAATGAATCTTTAATCTTGATTTTACTAAATTAGTTTTTATCAATTGATTTTAATTGTTGGGTTTTGTTTTCGCATAAGTCACAGTTTAGTTTGAGAGTCTTAAAAGTTATCCAGGCTATTTAGGAAAAATAAAGTCATCCATCTATCCATCTATATATATATATATATAATTTAATATAATATAAAGAGTTAGTAGTTATATGTTTTGTGAGTGATTAATGGAAAGGTGTGGATAATTTGTGACATAAATTAAAAAAAATAGTAATTTATGAAAGAATAATTAAGAAGTAAAATTGGGTATAATAATTAAGATGTAAAATAGTATATAGATTTATAATAAAAGCTTGAAACCAATTTTGACCCAATAGAACTCTCTTTGAGATTGATGAATTTTGGCCTATAATAATGTAGGCATGGGTATACCGTTGCCAAAATGTGTTAATAAGTTCTTTCTTTTTCACAACTACGTTTCTTTAAAAATTGTTTGTTGGTAGTTGATATAGACATGTCAAATTCAATGGGTGCGATGTTACAATTTTTGAAAAAAAAAATGGTGATAAAAAAAGAAAAACAGCATCCCTATTCTCCAGGCCCATGTTCTTGGGTGCATGAAATTGTATCAAACTCAACAACTTAAAACCTTGATGGATGATGAGCCTGGTGAGCCTTAGAGGCCCACAAGGAAGTCACATTCCGATATATGGCATTTACTACAGCTATTGATACGATTTATTTTTTTTAGAAATGATATATGAACAACAAAATTCTGCAATGTTTATAATATTATTTTTGTGTCTATTTATCTATAGTTAAAGTGATGAAAAATATTTTGAATATATTTTATATTGCACTTTTTATTGATTAACATTTGTTAAAAAAAAAAAACTAAAATTTAGTAGATCCTACACCATATTAATGATTTTCTTTCTCATATGATTTTATAATTTTTAATAAATTCTAATCAATAGGAGTAAGTGTAGAAGAGTACGTTAAAATCTTAGAAAATATTATTAACACTCTTTGTGAAGTGTTTATGTATTAGGATACACACTTTACTTGTCCTTGTTGTTACGGGTCTGGTCTTGGGTCTAGGTTTTCTCGTTCCTTTCCGATCAGTCCGAAGTGAGAGGGGTGCCTACAAAGACACTCTAACGCTCAAGTAAGTGCTCGGCGTATTAAATGTGGTAGTTGAAAGTTAGTTACGTACCTCGTAGAAGATCTATTTATAGTGTTTCTTGTTGGGCCGTAATTAAGGACTGGGCCCCGAAAAATTAGGGGACTAAATCGGCACATTACGTAAATTAATATCTCCTTAATTGTCCTGGCATAAATATCTAACTTGGCCGAGCACACCGGCATGTTCGGCTTAAGTAGTGAGTGATCGATATCCTCAACGTTGTTGATCTAGTCGGTCGGATCATGTATTCGGGTATTAAAAATCCAGTAGCACATGGTAGAAGTAAACACATTGAGACCCGATTCCACTTCCTAAGGGACCAAATAAGTAAAAGAAAGTTGAAACTTGAGTTCTGCAGATTTAGCCAGATTTATTGCAGATTTGTTATCCACCATTAACAGCATCCCTTCCTCAGTCTCTGTCTTCAATTCTTCAAGCAAAGTTTCCAGCCATAATGCTTGACAGGCACCCATACTAGCTGCTATATACTCAGCCTCACATGAAGACAAAGCCACAACAGATTGCTTTCTTGAGCACCAGGAAATTGGAGCATCTCCAAGCATGAATACATAGCCTGTGGTGCTTTTCCTGTCAGCTTTATCTCCACACCAATCAGCATCAGAGTATCCAACCATATTGTGATTAGGACTGCTAAATTTATTAGGAAACATCAGTCCATAACCAATTGTTCCCTTAACATACTTGAGCAACCTCTTAACAGCAAGCAAATGAGATTGCTTTGGTGTCTCCATATATCTGCTCACAAGCCCTACTCCATATGCAATATCAGGCCTCGTATTGCAAACATATCTCAGAGATCCTACCATTTGCCTATATAAAGTCTTGTCCACCATTTGATCTCCCTCAGACTTGTCAAGTGTATTTCCAGTATCAACAGGTGTTGAAACTGGATTGCAGTTCAGCATCTGAAACCTTTCCAACACATCTGTAGTATATTTGCTTTGATGCATAAAAATTCCACCTTTAGTTTCCTTGAACTCTATTCCAAGAAAATAAGAGAGTTTTCCCAAGTCAGTCATTTCAAATTCAGCCTTCAAGCCAAGGCCCAATAGTTGATAAAACTATTCTAACTTTTTTTTTGAAAGAAAAACTAAACTATGCTAAAACATAATTGGGCTTATAAGATAGAAATTGGGTCAACTATTTTAATTAAAAACATAATCTTTATGCCAACTGGGCTTCTGAGTGCTTCTTTTAGCCCGTTTTTCTCCACTTCCTTTGGTTGCACTTAGGCTGCTATCAATACCGGGCCCATTTGCAAGGACTTTGTCCACAAAGTCCTGAATAGGTGCATCAGCCCGTGTCAAATGAGAGAAGTGGGGTTGCTGTATGAGGAGCGTCGGTGAGGGGGCATGGAGTGTGTGATAGGGTTTGAGTGTCAGGGGCAGGGTCATCGGTCATAAGAAGGAGAAATTTTGGGGGTTGGCATTTATGACCAGGGTGATACTTTGCATCACAGTTAAAGCACAAACCTTGTGCTCTACGTTCTTGGAGTTGAGTAGGGGAAAGGCGTTTAATGGGCAAGGGTGAAGTAGTGATGTCAGGTGGGGGTGGAAGAGGTGGGAGGCAGGTAAGAGGAATTTTGGGTTCGGAGTCGCGAATCTTGGCTTCAATAAGTTTTGAGAGACCAATGGCTTGGGAAATGGTGGTGGGTTTAAGGATAGCAACTTCACGTTGAATTTCAGGTAGAAGGCCAGAATAAAAACAGTCTACAATAGCATCAGGAGGAAGGCCAAAAACCCTATTAGAAATTTTCTCAAACCTTTGTTGATATTCAGTGACAGTGGTATGTTGGCGTAATTTGAAAAGCTCAGCTCTAAAATTTTCATATCCTGTGGGGCCAAATCGGAGCTCTAGAGCACGCTCAAAAGCATGCCAATCAGAGAGCTGTTGGTTGTGGAGCATCCATTTAAACCATGAAAGAGCGTCACCTTTCATATAAAAAGCAACCATAGACAAACGGGCCTCAATGGGAATCTGATGGTAAGAGAAAAATTGCTCTGCCTGGAATAACCAATCAAGGGGTTCGGAACCGTCAAAATGAGAAAGTTGCAATTTGGGAGGACGAAAAGCATTCATATGGTTAGGTGGGGAAAATTGACGGGGTATAGTGGTGAAAGGTGGAGGGGTAAAAGGGGTGGAAAACGGGTTTGGGGTAAAAGAAGGAAAGGGAGGTGGAAGGTTATGGGGAGTAGAACCCTCCGGTCCAGGGCTGTTGAGATTAGTAATGGGAGGTGGGGGGTTATTATCAATAGTGGATGAAGAGGAGGGTTGAACAGCTGCCAGCTTTTCAACAACCGTAGCTAGGATGCCATTGATGGATTCGTACCTGGCGTCCATTAGGGATTGAAAATTTTCAAAACGGGTCTCCTGTTGCTGTTGCAATGTGGTGATGCGGTCGGACAAGGCTGCCAAGGCTTCGTCCATATCCTTCCGAGGAGGCATTGATGAAAGCACCAAAATTGTTAGGATTTTAATTGCAGTTTTCCTAACAAGGTCTTGCTTCGAGATAGACCAAATCTCCCAACACTACAGCTACCAAAAGAAAGGGAATAATCTCTCCTCCATTTCATTTCATCATGTTAGAATAAATACAACTTGAAAATTAGGGTAACAAGCACCCTCCAGCCAAGGCCCAATAGTTGATAAAACTATTCTAACTTTTTTTTTGAAAGAAAAACTAAACTATGCTAAAACATAATTGGGCTTATAAGATAGAAATTGGGTCAACTATTTTAATTAAAAACATAATCTTTATGCCAACTGGGCTTCTGAGTGCTTCTTTTAGCCCGTTTTTCTCCACTTCCTTTGGTTGCACTTAGGCTGCTATCAA